AATCGAAATAATTGGCATACCATCCGACAGTGTAAAGAAAAAATCTAAAACTATTTTTTGTAACTCAATGAACCCTGTGTGGGACCAAATTTTCACGTTTAATGTGCTGTTCAAAGAATTAGCGTTCATACGATTTCTCATAGTTAATGCCAGCACAAATCACGCGTTAGCGCAGCGCGTAGTACCACTCAAGAGCATGCTGTACGGATATAGGCACATTGATATGCATAACATGCGTAACCGGCCACTACCGCTTACCGCGTTATTTGTATATACTCTTAGCAAAGAAGAAGTACCAAGATCTATTGATGATGAAAATACATCTTCTACAACAGCACCAACAGCAGATAATGGAACAATAAACAGTGGCCTATCAACACACCGTAAAAAATTCTATGTAATGGTTTTTGGCGTATTCTCTGAAAACTCATATATTATGTTCAAAGTCACTCAGGATAGTACTGCGACAGATTTAATTCGATTAGCATTAGACAGGCGTAAGGAAGGTGACGAAGAAATGAAGTCATATGTGCTCCTGGAAGAAGTCGGCTTGACGTGGGATGTGTCAAATAATATAAGTGGCAATAACAGTGACGATATGGGGAATAACAGTAACGTCGCCACTGATGGTGGTAATGATGATAATAGTTACGATAACGATGAACCTAAACAAAAGAAAAAGAAAAAAAAGAAAAATATCAAGCGTAGGCGAATTGGATGGAAAAATGGTGACGCACCCATGATACAACGTGTATTGGATTATAATGAAAAACTGTTGGAGGCGCAGTCGCGCTGGAAAGGCGATGGATACTTTGTGCTAAAAAAAATTGGAGACGACCCAAGCAGCAGAGCGTGGCTCACTTCATTGCAATCAAAAAACTCAGGAAATGGTCAATCAGAATCATCGTGGGATGAAATACGTACGTTCTTAGTATGTATTTATAATGTTTCCGAAGAAAGACCATACGTTATTCTTAAGGTACCTATAGGATCAACTGCACAGGATATTTTAGCTCAGATTTTAGTTAAAGCTAGGCGTATGGAAAACCCAATTTTATTCATATTGGTTGAAGAACAATGTTGGGGCAGAACTGATATAAGATATAGGGTATTGGACGATGATGAGGTAGTATATAACACATTAAAACAGTGGTCCCGAGTTGGTAGGTTTGTTCTAGAGGATCGTTGTAGTAATGAAGATGAAGATGAAGGACTGGTTGCTAAGACTTCACAAGCATTGCAAACGTTTATAAGGGTAATGAGGATCCGAAAGGGCATAGCTGCTGTAAGTCGAGGTTGGAGATCTTGTGGTTTGCCAACGTTACCCGGTCATTGTCTGCGGCATCCGGAAAATGACAAGGAATACGTCATTAAAGAAGCAGCTCATGCTCACAAAAAAATGTTAGCAAAACATGAGAAGATGTGGTGGGCAAACTTAGAAAAAGGAGGTAGTGGTGACGGTGGTGGTGGCCTTGAACGTGGTTGTGATGATGACGGTAGTGGTGGTGAAGATGCTGAAGAAAATACCTATTCAGGATTTTTAAAATCACCAGCCCAGTTATTTGGTTTTTTGAAATCCTGACACATGTTGTGCTGCTTTCAAAGAGCACGTGATAGACACGATATTGGTACAATAGTATGAACAAAATAAAGTTTTTTTTTAATCTCGAAATGGAATTTCTGTAAATGAAAATATGGATTGTTTGCTTAACCCCGTGTTCCCATCCTGTATTTAATCAAAATCATTTATACTCCGATACTCCAATCCGCTTGGTGTTCTTCATTTCTCTTCACAGGGAACCGTAACATTTTCAGGGTGTAAGTAGATAAGTCATTAATACTTATATTTTGAGATTAATGGTATATATATATATATATATATATATATATGTATATATGTATATATACTTTTATCTTCTTTTTTTTTGTAAGAATGTGCAGATTAGCTGACATTTTTTATCTTCTGATCAATATACATTATTATTTATGCAGCTAATTAGCTATTTTAAAACTAACCAAAATCCTGAGTTTTATTTATTTTTTTTATTTTTGTACAATAATTTGTTAAAATTAATAAATTTTATTTCTAATTGTATATTATGATTTCATAATGCCAATTATTTTCCATTTTTACCTTATCAATTATTTTTCATATTATATTTGAGCTGAAAATTCCAAAGCTAGTGGTTAGTTACTAGTCTTAGAGGTTGTTGGGACATCCAATTATTAGTGTTTTTTTTTTCTTAGGTAGTCGTATAATTATTTATACAGCTAAATTGTTATTAGAAAAAAAACAATTAGTTATTGGATAGTCTTATAATAAGTTATGTGTGTAAGAATTTATTTGAAATTCCTAGTTAAAACTGTTGCAAATCTAGTCATTTTATAAATATAATTATTTTATGTATCTCCAACATCGTCTCTATGTATTGTTCGTATATGTTATTAATATTTTTTTGTAATTTTCTCAGTAAAATGTGAAAATTTCTACTACAGTATTTTAAATTATATAAACTATTATTAATATAATTATTATTCATTTTATTCATAATATTATAATTAGTATTACTATTATAATTAGTTATTATCATTACTTTTATTATTATTTATTGTACACTTATCAAAATAATAATAATTATTATTATTATTATTATTATTTCTATTATTCTTATTAATATTTTATTTGTATTATATTTTTTTATCATTATTATTATTATAACTATTATTATCATTATCTATAATATAATATCTAATATTATTATCATCATTATCGTTTAACTATAACTATAATTATCATTAAAATTTGAATCTCATATTTAATAAATTTATAAGAAAGACTGTGCAGCAGCTAGAATTTTTAACTAGGAAGGACACTAACACATATCTAGTAAATATCAAAAATTTCGTCACAAATATCTATGTTTAATAAATTTAAATTATAAAATCAATCATAATTTTCAGTACCAGGAATTATTAATACAATTAATGTATTACGAATTCATCTCACTTTTTTTTTCATTATGTACAAATTTAATTTGACAATAAAACTAGATATTTCAAATGGATATGTGTTTCTAGTGTCCTCCTGTGACTATGGCATTGCAAACAGTTTTTATGATAATGACAACAACGAGATATCACTTATCAGTTATTTTATACATGTTAACATCTAATATGTGTTGGTATTGAAGATTTTTATCAATAATATTAATGTTTATTAAATATCTAGTATAATATACATGTATATGTAATATGTATATTATATAAATTGTTGGGTTAAGTTCTGTAGAACCCTGTTAACCTTAATCAATGTATTTTATTTATTGCCGTTAAAATACCATTTATTGTTTTACTCATTATACCTATATTATGTTATGTAATCTATATAATATTATTATACTTTATAATATTATCATGACAAACGTATTTATTATTTTATGTTTAGTGGCTCAACTATTCCTAAAATCTTCACAGTTTTTTTTTTTTTTTTTTTAACACAACTCATTACCTATTTTAATCATAAGCATTGTGAACTAACAAAAAAATGATAATTTTTACTCTTGCTTCATTTTTAAATATTATTGTTTCATATTAACATATAATATGTTACAATTATTATTCCAAATTCATATTTGTTACTGTTTACCATGTCAAGAATGTAAAAGAGGTGACTATCCAGCTAACTATCGGAAAAGCTCCAAATATGAGAAAATCCAGTCTACTCATTAGACTTGACTCAATTAATGTTAGCACCCATACACTCCGACTTAAAACACTCTGATTTTAATGTATCACGCAATAATAATTATCACTTTACAAACACACTTTAATCTCACACCATCACTACTAAAAACATTATTATCAAATGACTAAAAGTATTAATTAATCCTTTCCACCTCCCTCTCTCACTAATAATACTAATAAAACAAGTTTAAAATAGGATGCAGTAAAAATTCTTTCTTTATATAGATTTCATTCAAATTCAATTATTTGGTTGGTTGAAAAATAAAATATAAAGCATTAATTGTAAATTACAAATTAAATCCATATTTTTATAACAATATTAATATTTAAAATATTGTATTACATTATTTCAATAAATTATATATTTTAGAAAATTATATAGCAGCTTACAATAATATGACTGGAAACCTATACTACATAATATTAAAAAACTAAATTGAATCATACTATACAAATTAATCGAAGTTTTGTTATAAGTTTTGCATGTAATTATGTTAAAATGATATCAAAATAATTCTAACTAAAGCAGAATTATAGTGTGTTTATTATTTTAATAATATTTTTACTGATAAAACAGAATATTTATGTATACCTAACTTGTGATGTACTTTACCCAAAGTATCTACTCGTAATTGCGTGAGTATACCCCATGAGAAATCCGATAAATAATAGTAAAAACACTCTATGTAAGTAGTTAAAAATAAATTTCATCATTAAAACTATATATATCAAAAAACAATAAGTTATTTTGTAAAATTATGATAAAAAATAAAAGAAATACAACACTGATAAAAAAAAATACAAATAATAAGCAATTGAAAAATGCAGCGTATAACATTATTATGTGTAATTTTGTATTTGATGGAAACTAAGTGGTAAAATAAACTTAACAGTTGATCGATTGTTTTATAAAAAAATAAAATACGATAACTATTTTAAGAAAAGAAAAAATTGTTTATTAACAAAGATATAGCCAAATGTGTAAAGCCATTATGTGAATAATAATAATTGTTCAAAAGTTTTTTTGTGTTCAATTGTTTATTTATTTATTTTCTATTGAAAACTATACGTAAGTACGTATTAACCACATTACTCGCTTGATAATAATAGACTAATGATATTTTATGTTTAACACGCAGCATCAAAAAAATAATTTATGTGAATCACTTTATCACTGTAAATAATCTTCCTATTTTTATTTTCATTCATATTAAAATTTAGAATTAAATTAAAATACAATTAAATATAATAAAATGTATGTTTTTAAGGCTATGATAAATTTTTAGTCACAATAAATGATTCTGAAATGTTACCGATTGGCGTTTGAACGTGAGTCGTCGAAGATTTGATTTTCGATGATTGAAATTTAATGGATCGTTCTGGATTGTTAGATTGATCGTTGGTCTTATAACTATTTTTCACTTCTGATATAAATCTTCCATTATCTGATAGGAATCAAACAATCATATTTATAGTAGTGAATTAAATATAACACAGAATTTAAGTTGCATGGTTAATTAATATTATACTAACCTAAGCTTATATATTATGACTACTTGGGTTAAATGTAATATGATTTGATTTATATTATTAGACTGTAAATTATAATATGATTGTAATATATTTATTTTATCTATACGAATAAATATCAATTCTTTTTAAAATGATAAATATAGAAAATACGTAGTATAGTGTTATCACTTATCATTTCACTATCCCGTTATTAATAGGTAAATATTGAATGCAAAATAGCAAAAATTTAAAATAAAGTGTATTAAAATTTTAGCCTAAATACATCGCACTAAGAAGTTTAATCATTGAAATAATTAAATGTATTAGAAAGATAAATATCCATAATTTTTTTATTAAACATGACTCTGTTTACTACCTATATTGTATAAAATATTTATGATTGACTTAAAAATAAATTAAACAAATCTTATATAGGAAACCTCAAAAACTTTACATTTATCAAATGATTAAATTATTATTGAACTAATGCTAAACTAAAAAAAATTTAAGTAACTTAATAAATTCAATTATTGTATGTCATTATCAAAATATTTAATTTTTGTATTTTTTATCGTTTTCAACTATTATTAATGAACAATTGAAAAAATTTTGATTATTTAATAAGTTATGTCTCGTGTTTTATTTAAATTTGATAAAATTATGTCGTACTAGATTTATCCCCTACTCGTACAGATACAGTTATACTTGAACATAACTTATCGTATACATAATAATTTGTGATAAGTTCAAAGCCCAGATTTTAAATTTTATAAAAACTATAAAAAAAAATGCTTTCAAAAAATAATCAAATATACTTTTTTAACGAAATAATTCTCTTAAAAATTATCATGTTTATTGGCACCCAAGCAATGGAAAAATAATGGTATAACTTTGGGTGTTTCTAACACTTTATCTTAACTAAAATTAATATTTTTGACAGCCTGGTTTTTTACTTTACCTCTTTTTTGTTTTAATTACATAGGTAATATAAATATTTTGAATTTTTGAAGCTTAAAATCTTAAAATCAGTTATAGATTGGTTAAATGTTAAATTAAAAAATATAGAAAAGTGATGACACCGCTTTGCTATACATTAGGCATCGAATGGGTCATTGTAATTCGTGTGTCAAATTCGAATTCAGTAACAAATAATTGTATATGAAAAATGATTGTAAGTGTCGGCTTATATCATTAAAATATTACATGAAATGTTGTTGGATATTAGTTATCTATTTAAATCATTGATTTTGCTATTTAATTAATTTAATTTTTGACAAAAACATTGCATTTATTATATTATTGACATTTAATTGTTGAAATAATATATATTTATACCATGTTAAAGTTTTATTTATTTTTAAGTTAATATCATCTAACCATAAATAATATAGGATATATCATAAAATTAGTTTATATATTTTGAAAATTTCATTACGTAAAGTAAAATTTATTTTTTAAGTAAAATATTTAAATTCCCATGAATTATAAAAATTATATAATATTATATGCAAATTTTAACAAAATAATTAGCGTCGTTATTTATGATTAAGCAAGGCTTGCAAACTTTATAATAACGTTATATTTGACAAAAAATGATTAAAATTTGTAAACGTAATTATAATGGAAAACGATAAACATAAATAATTAAATAACATAAACCAAAACAATGTAACGATTAACAAAATATATGATATATCATCAAACAAAACATAACGGAAAATGTTGTAAATAGTATATCATTAAAAGGAATAATGAATTTCCAATTATTTAATAGTTATAAATTATGAAATATATTAAAAATTCTAATTCTGGATAACGATAAACGTAAAAGTTTATTAACGTTTAAATTCTAAATAACGATAAACTCAAAATTTGTATAACGTTATAATTTTAAAAACGTATACCAAAATATTTTTTTTTAAATGCAAGCCTTGGTTTAGCAATTTCATCAAATTTTAACTTAAAATGTCTATAAAAAATAATTATTTGTGTATATTTTTAAGATTTTATAATTTCAGTATGAAATAGGTACTAATGAGAAATATTGAATTAAATTTTCAAAACTTTTTTTTTATAAAAAAAGAAAATCCTTATGAATTTCTAACTAGAAAATAGTTTGCATTTTCTTGAAATTTAGTCGAATTCCGTCAAAATTTTAACTTTAATTGCATTAAAAAAAATAAATTATCGATTATTTTTTTTTTTTATTAACTTATTCAGATATAAGAACGATTTATATATGATCTTATACAGATGATATTGCAGTCATGTTAAAATTATTATTGTTATTTAAAATTATGTTTTTCTTAAACGAATTTATCCAAATAAATTAATTATTATAATTTCGTTTAAAATTTATTTAAATTTTTATGTTTTTAAACTATCTACTTCAAAAATTATTTTTGAAAATAATCAATATTATTATATTATTTAAGCTAGCCACAGTTGTATTTCTGTGCATACTAGTTTTATCTCATAATATACAAATTGCCTCCTATCCTTATCGTAAATAAAAAAAGGTTAATATATACACTAGTTGCTTCTGATTACCAGGTATTTTATAACCATTAAAAAAATTCAAGAATAGTTTACAGTTACATATATTTTAATATAATTTAAATATATATAATATTACGTAATAATGATAAACATTAATCTCATAGATATATAGATATTTTTTTTGTTTCATCATAATAAATTTCGTTGTTTTATTTTATGTTTGGGAAGAACTTCATATTATACTATTATCTTTTTTAGTAAAATTTACGATACGCCAAGAGAAAATTTATGTACAATTTATAGACTTTTTTTTTTTTACTTCAGGAGGCGACTATTATGTGTTTTAGTATTAATATGCAGATTTCGAAATAAATTTGTTTGATAAAAATATAATTGTTATTCGTTTATATATTACAATACAATATTGTATCATAATATAGGTACTATACTATTCAATTATTGGTACGAAAAACTATCAAAATGATAAATTTATTTTATATATTATATGGTTAAAAAATTAAGTATATAAGAAAGTATACATCAATACATTTTATAAAAATTTTAACGACACATGTTTACCTGTATATTCGTGGTCAGCGCTATTAGCAAAAACATAGTCACTACTAGCTCTTTGTAATGCTATAACCAATCTTTCAGGATTAGGCGTTTGAGTGTTATTACCAGTTTGTGGGTTCCATACAAAAATATAATAAGCCGACAACATGGTCGCCACAGTAGACACCGACACTAGATATGCAATTACGGTCAAAATCCGAATAATTTTTATCTATAGGAAAATAAAAAATAGGTAAAATTATAATTACTAAAAAAAAAATAATCAGATAATTTATTTATTATATTTTATAAACTTTTTATGGTAATTTTTATTTTAATAAGGTATTAAACCTGTAGTTTTTATATTAGCAGTAAATTCTCAATATTTATAAAATATAATACATTTTAATTTAACACTGTCTACAAAATTGACAAAATTTTAATGTTTTTTATTATTTACATTACATTTTTGGAACGCGCTTAAAACTGAATACAACTTCAATGTTAAAATTTATAAAGAATAAGAAATATGTATAAATTTATTGAATTTTTTACTTCATCACTTCGTTTAGAGTAAAACTAAGAAAAAAAAACTAAAAACATTTAGAACTATAAGTCTTTCGTTTCAATTTTATTATTTTATTTTTTAATTGATTATTAATAATATTATTACGTATAATAACTATATACTTACTTTTCTTTCTTTTTTCTGAGCTAATATTCTTTGTTTTGTCACTTCTTCCTGCATCACTACATCTCCGTCACATTGATCACTATTCATTATTACTGTATTGAGTTAATTCACTATAAATATCTCTAAAACAAATTTAATTTAATTAAACATATACACATATATTTATATATATATATATATAAAAGTGTGCAATTATTTACAGAACAACAAATAGATATTGAAAAACTGAGAAACAAAGCATATAGTATAACAAAAATTATTGATACACAATTGAGAATAAACTTCGTTAACTTTTGTTAAGTCTCGGCTATCGAATAAGGTTTTTAAAGAAAAAAAGGAGGAATAGCTATTGCCCGTATATTATAGGATTTAAAGCGCATGACCCTTATATAATAATTGAAGCCATTATTAGTAAGCTAGTTAATTCAATCATAGCGGATTGTCTACTTACACCATACGAATACCTTAGTCACGATACTACCAGCACTAATTTTATACTAAATTATAACCATCTATAGAATAAAAATAAAACAACAGGAACAGTATATTATATAATATATTAATCAATAAAAATGTTAACATTTATCAAATTATGAAAATGTACCAGCTTTATAGAATAAAATAAAATATTCAAAATAGAGAATAAACTCTTATGTGGTATGCATCTTAATACGTTTTAACAATACTACTTCTACTTATCAGCTTGAAATTAAACATTCGTGTATATTATTTAGTGTTAATAAATAATAATCTAAAAAAAAAAATTATAAATCTATGAAAATAGTAAATTTTCTTTAATAATTAGGTATAACATGAGATATAAATTTCTTAAGTTAGTGCAAAAATAAATAATTGTGAAAATTAAACACAAGCTTAAAATTTTGTCTTAAATAGGTACATAAATTATTAATATCACATATTTTAATTTGAATTAATTTATATTATTGTATAATGATTTTTAATAAATGGTTTTAAAATCTACTGTATTTCCCCTCCGTAGGTTTATTTTACTTCATTTAAGAGTATAAAAATCAATAAGACAGGTAATCGTATGGTTTTATTAATTTATAAATAAAATTCTATTGAAATATTTTACAAAAATAAAGTGAAATATATACTAATTCATTAATATTATAGTATAATCTATTAATTTCTTGTAAAAATAGGGTACTATTAAATAATATTTTTATAGTACTTTTTTTTTTTTTTGTATTTTTAACACTTAAAGGGTAATTTTGGAGTAGGGCCGGATTGGCGTGATGATTTATTGAATAAAATTCGGTGAGTCACTCAAAATATAGAATGGTTATGAGTTTTAAGTTGTAATATTATTTTTTTATAATAGTGATAAATTGGTACAAATATTGGTAGAAAATAATAATTGAATCGAATTACTTAACCGTATAGTAGCAGTAGCTATAATTTATTTGTAATCAAATGTTAGAAATTCTAAGACTCGGCAGGCTAATCTGGCGATGTGTGAGTGTAGGTATTTCTAAATATTAATACAATTATTACAAAATAACAATTATAGTAATTGGTAACTTAAACAAGTATTTATTTTGTTATCTAGTATTAAAATTAACCAAAATCAGTGAGTCATAAAATCATATTCATTTTGATTCATTTTCAAATACTTAAATTTAAAATACAAACAAACTATATAAAACTTTCGAAAAATGTTATGCATTTTGATACAGAATGCAATATAGGCGCAATACTTATTTTTGTTTAAGTTAAATCCAAAAATTGATATTTTTATAAATGAAAAGTGTTAAATTAAATTATATTTACAAGATTAATAATCAACATTTAAATTTTTCTTTACTTTATACATACAGTTTTAATATTTTTTGTGCAGATAATTAATGTATTTAAAATATATCTTATACAACGTATTCTATTTAATTTTAATAAAATAAAATGTAAATATTTGTAAATTAATAATTAAAATGTCTCATCTGGAATTGTATAATATAAGTCGTTTAACTTTTATTTTGTAAATTTTTGTTACACTAAAATCGTGTTTAATAGTTTATGCTATGGATTTACTATAGCTAATGAAATATATAAAAAACGATTATACAAAAATTAATGATATATTTTATTTTTTATTTTATTTTCATATTTTCTGTAGTACTGTTTTACCTTCGTTTTAAGTAATGTCTTATTTTGGAGAACATTTAGCTATTCGTTTTATGCTGTATAAGCTTATAAATAGTAATAATACTCGTGAAAAATCAATTAATTAATTTTGAACAAAATTATTTTGCAATAAACACTTAGCTTTAAAAATTAAATTTTGTATAATATTACACAGGTAGTAGGTATAAAAAAAAACACTCACACAACAAGACATAAATATATCGTATGGTATATTAATACGCGTTTAATGATACTGATAAAATGTATATGAATTACAAACTTGTAATTCATAAATTATAAATTATAAAATACAATCAATTATATCATTTTAAGATGTAATGAACATATTAATTTAGTAAAAAGTAATTAAGTTTTAGTTTTGAAATCATTTTATATATAATGGTATCAATGAATAATTTAATTATTAAAATTATTTATAGTATCTACAATTATATCAATCCCTTCACGCAATTGAGTTTCTGTAATTATTAATGGTGGTGAGAATCTCAATGCACTCGACCCAATAGGCTTAGATATCATTCCATTTGATTTCAGTTCATTATTTAATTTGTAGACATCTGATACTCCTTCTGAAAATGTACAATACAAATTAAAACAATTATACGTTTAACCTTAAAACAATAAATATGTTTATCTTTAGAATAACTGTAATAAATTATTATATTAACTTTTAGAGCTTAACATAAAACCCGTGTTTTGGTTGACAATTTAGAGTCCTTAACTATTTTTAGCTCAAATCTAATTACTATTAAAAATAGTAAACAATTATTGATGATATTTTTTTTCAAAAATAATTATTAAACCACACGTACATTGTAATGCACATTGATTGGGTAGTTAACTAGTTGCATTGTACACGTTATACATTTGAACATTAAATTATGCGTAATAGTTATATATATTTAACAACTACATGATATTTAAATTATATAAGCTCATAGTTCACAATATTATTAACTTATTATATGATAAACAAATATTTATAAAGATAAATATTTAAATAATAAATACAAATATTACATTAAACAAATTGATTTTTCATACCTATTATTATGTTTACTAAAATATGTATTTATGTTAGTAAGAACATACTTGTATTCAATACGATAGCATTCAGTAAGCCTCTTCCTCTGACTTTAATTGCTTTATCTTTGCTCAAACGTGCATTAAGTTCAGATCTAAAGATCTCACCCATCTTGAATGCGTTTTCAACCAAACCTTCGTTTATGATTACGTCTAGTGAAGCCAGAGCAACCTTACACGCTAACGCATTTCCACCATATGTCGATCCATGTGTACCAGGAGTAAGAACATCCATTACTTCACAATTACCCAATACCGCAGAAATCTAATGGGTGAATTTATTTTATTTTATACGTTATCGAAAATAGGTACAACTTTATATTTTTCAAGTCATACTCACTGGATAGACTCCGCCGGAAAGTGCTTTACCGAGGATCAACAGATCAGGTTTGACGTTTTCATAATCGACAGCTAACATTTTTCCGGTTCTACCCAATCCAGCTTGTACTTCATCATCAATCCAAAGAACATTATATTTTGTACAAAGCTCGCGAACTCCTTTCAAGTAGCCTAGACTAGGTACCACTGCTCCTGCTTCGCCTTGTAATGGTTCCACCATAAATGCGCATACGTTTGGATTTCTCAATGCTTGCTATAAAAAATTCAAAACAGGAGTTAAACTATAGGTCACTAGATAATAAAATCAAAACCATATAGTGCGTCTCATATTTTAATTAAAAAATTTAAAATTATATATTTTGGGAAATTATTGATAAAGAGTAAAATCAAGTGATAGATAAAAACAAATTAAATTCAAAAATTGAAATACTAAATACGAGCTTAACAATGAAATTAACTAAAAAATGTATGAATCAATTATTTTATTAGAAATAATTAACAGTAACTCTATGATTATGCTAATTATGTCTTAAAATTTAATATTTTCATAAATAGCGAATTAAAAATAAATAACCAAAGAAATATATACTTAAAATAAATAACTTTAAAGCTTTTAGTAAAATATATTTTTCCTAATTATACTTATAAAATAAGCCAATAAAAATAACAATGATAAATCGATTTTCTGTTAGTAAAATAAAAAAAAATCTTCAAATAGAAAAAAACGACGTGATTATTTATTAGTTTAATAATAAACTTTGTTTCATATTCACCTCTAGTTTTCCTAAATCATCATAAGGCACTATTTGATAACCAGGAACATGAGGTCCAAATTCATCGAAGGAATTTGGATCTGTAGATGAGGAAATAGCGGCGATTGTTCTCCCCCAAAAGTTTCCATGGGCAAATACAACTTGCGCTTGATTTTGTGGAATTTTTTTCACCCTATATCCCCATTTTCTAGCTATCTTGACACTAGACTCTCCTCCCTCAACACCTTAAATAAATATGGAGGAAGTCAGTTGAATAACAAACAATTAATATTTGTTAAATTATTCCAGTTGAAAAATGTTTAATTAAAAATTAATATTTACATAAAATATAATGCATTTAAAAATGTTCAAAATAAATGTATTTTACCAGTATTCATGTTCAAAACTTTTTCATAGCCAAATTGTTTAGTCAAGAACTCATTAAGTTCATACAACGAGTCGTGAAATATAGCTCTTGACGTGTGATGAAGCTTGTTTAATTGATCTGTCATGGCCTTAATAATTTTTGGATGACAGTGACCCTGATTGAGGGTGGCAAATCCTCCCACAAAGTCATAATATTTTTTTCCTTCAACGTCCCACATAAAAATACCTAAAATTTAATAATTATAATTTTTTTATAATAACGATTAAATACACTTAAAATATCAATAAAAAATGTTATTTTGAAATTTTAATCTCGATTGAAATTGGTTTATAATACGATTAAATAATACCTTCTCCTCTGGTGATAACCACGGGGCTAGGATCATAATTGTTTGCAGAAACTTTTTTCTCTCGTTGAATCACTTCAGCAGATGATTTAGCAGTAGTTGAACTTAACCGTGTGACACTGACATTATTGAAAAGTCTTGTGTACTTAAGTAACTGGGAACTACGATTTTGTAGGCCTGACATTCTGTTTTGATATCAAAGATCATATCTGAAAATAATAATGGAACAAGTTAAAATATAATATCTACCTATAGGCTATAGTTTTGTTACAATAAATTAGCAAATTAAATAAAAATGTATGTCATAAGTTAGTATAGATTATAAAAAATAGTATAAAAACTTAGACTAAAAAATATACATAATATTTCTAATTTTAAATATAAAATAATAAAACACTTTTGATAAAATTAACAGAGTGAATGATTAAAATAAAAATATGTAAAATTATTAATAATATTATCAATACGCTGAAATAATACATTGTTAAATTATAATAAAAAAAATTTGTCTGAAAAACTTGACTAAATAGAAGTGAATAATTATTTATGCATTTAGATTTCCATATATTATGATTAAAACAATAAATAAAGTTTAAAAAAATATAAATGATTTTTTTTCCAATGACAAAAGCAATATATATATAACAAAAATTTACAATTCTAAGTCAGGACCAAAATGAATACTGTGCGCAGACGAAGTCATCCAGTAGAGTATTAAAATAAAAACTATAACTCCACTCTATTCTTAAATAATCTTAGAATAGTAAAAGAACATTTAACCATTCCAATTTAGTGATACGACAAATTAATACAAGTCTTATTATTGACCTTTTCATTGATACGAGTTCGATGTTTATAGTCTGGAAATTCACAGTAGGGGAACATAATGATTCTCGAACATCGAGCAAAGACAAAATTAAATTTGTAATTCATTTTTAAAGTAGATACATGTTATTATGATTATCACAAAATAATTGTAGATGCGATAATTATTTTACGGATTAACGTATTAATATTAACAACACTACGTGACTATATTTTTTATACACTTTACATCGAGCACATGACGTGCACATAAAAAAAAAATTAATTTGTTCTCGATTTCTTATTTCTATAAAGTAGCTAATTTAAAAGGTCAATGATAACATTAATATTGTTGTTTGTTGGATGAAATTAAAATGATTAGGTAACAGCTGCTAGGCATATGTAATATTAAGATAAAAGCACAAAATATTTTAAATATACCATGTCAGTATGAAAGAAATTATTTATTTAAGTAGTCATTAATCATTATTAATGCATGACTGAATGACTATAGTAAATGTATGAACATTTTTATATACATTAATTGATAAGTAAAATTATTGTCAAATTATATATATATAATAAACATAAATTTTCAATCTAAATCATTTTTTTTTTTTTTTAACATTTCTTTTGAAAGCTTTATTTTTATATTATTCAAGTAATAATTTATACATCACTACTTAAGTTGTTTTTATATAATAATTTCTAATTTAATATATCTTTGAATATCAACAATAATATTAAATGTTATTTGTCACGCAACTCCAGTTTTCGACAAGACCTGGTATATTATATTTTTGTTATAATTCATACAAGCGTTCAAACTTGCATACATCGTAAATAACTAATAAAAAAATAAAACAATTGACTAACTAATAGATAGTAATATATATAAATTATAAAATGTCCTTACAATTTAGAAATATATGACGCTAAAAGACTATTCGCGTTCAAGATTTTTCGTTTATAATTATTTATTATTGAGTTAAAATATAACTAATAAATTACAATTTGAAAATTACTAAAGAGGATGTTACACCCAAATGTGTATTTCTATCTAACATTCACGAATACGAGTATAGTAAAGTTACGTACCAGAGTCTTAATAAAATGTATATATACTACTACAAATTTGCTTATAGATAAAATATAAATTATGCTCCAGCAAAGAGCATTATTTTTTATATAGGTATTTATTTCAAAACAAATTATATGAAATAAAAAAAAAAAAAAAATGAACTATTTAAATACATATGACTCGTTTTAAAATAAAAAAAACTCATCACTCACGCATTGTTTATATTGTTCTCTATAAATTCGATAACGAGTAAATTTTATTTAATTTTTATTATAAATAAACTGTGATAAGAATTCAGTATCTACATAAATTTTCAATATTACCTATATGTGTATAATATTGAAACACACGCGAATTTAGCGTTTTCTTGATGAAAAACACTCGAAACTTATACTAGGTACAGAATACAGAATAGCGAGCAGGTGTTAAATTAGTCTATAATAATTTAAATTATAATATAATTCAATCATAGGAGGTTAAGTGTTATTTATAATAAGGTAATTTTATTTTTTATTTTTTAATTAAAAAATACTAAAATTTAAGTTTTGAGCAAATAACTTTGTTACCGCTGTTGGAATAGAAAAGTTAATTATTAATAAACCTATATGTAACTTATGTGAAGTGTATATTTATTTTTCGTAAGTAATTACATTAAATATATATATATACATATATATTATCATAATAAATTTATATTTATCATATTAGGTCATGATAGTATTATTTAATTGTAAATAAAAATTGATGATATTTTATAGTAATTATGTTTTGTTATCAAATAGTAAAATTGCGTTAAACATATAAATGGTATAACGTCGATAAGTATAGCATTAAATACATTTTTATTTTACTATGTAAATAAAGTTAGCCATGTTATGTATATATTAAAAATTGGATACCAATAAACTAATTTTCTCATTTAAAAAATAATCAATTTATTATTTAAATAACTAACACCCATACTAAAGAAACTGCAAATATATTTTATAATATAAATTTATAATTATATTAACAAATTCACTTATTTCTTGTTTGAATATCGAATTTATGTTGTAATTTCTAATATATATTGTATACTTCGTATTCTCGTATTATCTAGCATATAATATATTTAAAAGATTATAGTACACTAATGTCCAAAATTTAACGATTGACTTTGTTATAAATTATTTTAAATAAAATAGTAGTTTAATTGTATATATAACGTTACTAAATTTTATATTATTTTGATATTTTGGTGAATGAAGTCTAAAATAATAATTAAAATAAATTATAAAATTAAATCGTTATTTTTTGGTGAGAATTTCATATTCATTTGAATTATACAGGTATTATATAATACCTGACTTCCTATACCTAAGTGTTTAGTATCAATAGAATACTTCCAATATTATATAAAAATTAATTAAAAGATGACTAAAAAATTTAATTTAGATAATCTAAATTTAGAAAATTTAGAAAATGACATATGAACTTTATCACAGACAGAGTAGACCTATATTATAATTAAATTAATTTTAAATCATTAAAAGGACACCATAGCCACATATGTTATCTTTAGCTGTCTTACATATAACATAGGAAATTTTTGTTCAATAGAATCAATTTTATGTTCTTAGCTTTAATATTAGAGTAAATTTACTCATTATCAAACTTAAAGGTAAGAATTTTATGTAGCCCATTGCATGGGCTTTTATTAATATTATAATTTTAAACTAAATTCGAGCTATGTAAAATATTTAAATTTTAAAATACTCATAACTTAGATTAAATTCCTTTATAAAAACCTTTAAGTTTGATAATGGGTAAATTTACTCTAATATTAAAGCTAAGAACATAAAATAGATTCTACTGAACAAAAATTTGCTATGTTGTATATACGTAAGACGGAGACACACATATGGGCACTCTTAAATAAATTGCACTTAATAATATATGCTTATCATATATTATAGGTAGTAAAACATATTTACACTCCAAGCAATTTATTTTTATTTTATTATATTATAAAATTTAAATATATCAAATAATTTAAACAATTAAAACATATTATATTGACCTAACTTAGAATAAATAATAAAGGCTGACATACCATCTAAGTTAAAATTACAACTACATCCATAGTATTTAAAAATAAGCTATGGCATTACTAAAAATAGAAAACATAAATTCTAAAATGTAATTAAGAAAAAAAACTAAAATTTTTTATAAGTTGTGATAAATATCAATTGCATTATTTAAAATAATAACAAAATAATTAACCAAACATTTTATACTTACATAAAGATTAGTAAAACTTGAATATATTATACCCACACGATACGAATATCGTAAATAGTAGGAAAACTTGTAATAAACATTAAATAGTGATTACGAGGATTTTATACTAATTTAAAAACGTGTATTCCAAACAACAACTGATCCGTTTAATAAGGTTTATCTTATCTCATTATTATTTCTTTATTTTCGATAAAAACACACCATTTTTGACACGTGCATTAAGTATGTTATGTCCAACATGTACTTATAGAAAATCATGTTCAACAACATATTCGTAACTATATAATATAGCTACAAACTAAATAATAACTCTAATCATAATACCCATTGAAAACAAACACATTTTACTTGACATTAAATTTTTATTGTTTAAAACTATATAATATCAGAAACTTTAATACTATTAGATATTAATTAGTAATAGCTAAATATTAAGTTTATTTTTATTTTCAGTCTTAATCAACAATAATTCGCCATATTTTCACCCATACATACATATCATTATATAATTATATACCTTAATATAACTAATACAACCTTATTGAACATTTAGATTAATATTTTAGAGAAAATATTTATGATCCTTTAAATTACTTTTTTAGTTATGGTAATCAGCTTTAAGCGGAAAATTGAAATACAAAAATAATGTAAACTATGGCTCTTAATATGAAATAATCTAGTCTGAATATGACAGTCGTGTCACAAAAATAATACGTGAAATACTGATAGTTTTTAACTCTTTTATATTAATTTAAAGTGTTTTTAAATTAAATAAAAAATATATTACACTGCGTTAATTAAATTAAAGTGGCATTAAGTTAATTAAATAAACAAAGTATATTTGCTTTTATAAATACCATATTGGTGTACACTAAAATGTTCGATTATGATTTGAATAACAAATAAATATATGAAATGAAAACAAAAAGTAATAACCAAACTTCAATATACCTAAAAAAAAATCATTTAAAACGTTTATCAAAATAAAATTGATAAAAAAAAAACATTCTAATACTTGGAGTTTTTGAGTTTCACAGTAGATATTGCGTTAAGAAGATTTTAGTAGAACTTTGTAGATTTATAAATACATAATTTTCAGATAATTTAATTCCAGGTAAAGGAGTATTCTATTGTATGAGTGAAACAATGAAAAAAAGCAAAAACATTGTATTTTTTTTAACTGAGAAAGCTACTTACAAAATTATAATATAAACCAACAAAACCAACAATGACAAGGAAAATATTTTTTATATATTTTAATATTTTTTTTAAAGTTATAACCCAAATAAATATATAAGTGAAAATAAATAAATTATATTATACTACGTACTATAACATTTGCGTATTATATATATTATAAAATTTGTTAGTAATACCGTTGATAAGTGAGAAAAACAACAGAAAACGTGTACATAATATAAATATTATATAGGTAATTTGTATACCAGCTAAACAAATACAACTAGTTGATACATCAATTTATTCAACATTTATAACTCTACCATTAATCTCAAAACATAATTGAAACATTTATGAATTAAAAGAACATCGAGCACTCCAGATCATAAATTGGTGACACGATATTTTTTAATCTATTTATCGAAAAATAACTATTTATTTTAATTGGTATTTGTTGTAATACAAAAAATACTATTTAAAGTAATTTAATACTTTTTGATTATACGTATACTATTATTTAGTTACTACTCTTATTGAAATTTCCAAAACATTTAGATTAATTTTAAGCTAATAGTTAATAAATACCAAGAATTTCATCAAATCTATTGTTTTCAGACGTTGTTTATATTGAATTTATACCAAACGTAAAACTTTACATACAAGTTATATAATAATGTAACTAGTAATACTATAGCGAAACTTTCCAGGTGTTTAAAATTTAATATTTAGCGTTTATAAAATATTTTTAGAGTATTATACCCAATTTTTATTTTAATCGAAAATATATTAATTTGTTGATACTTTAATTGAAGATATACCCTAGTTTTATTTTAACCGAAAATATATTAATTGTTCGATACTTTAATAGAAGAATAATCATTTTTATAGGTAACTATGTTGTAGACATTTTTTTTTCAAAAATCCACAAAGCTTAAATAAAAATATAATAATTTTTTAATTGAAATTATTGTTTAGAAATATTACCAATTACAATAGAGCGGGACTGGATCCCCAATAATCCGGTGAACGTGGTAATTCGGATGGAATAAGTCCATTTGTTTGTAAATAGAAATAGTTTGTTCGAATTTGAAAGTATTTTTCAGAAAAAAATTACTGAATACCATATTTTGTTCTATTATTATACACATTTTATTCTGTAATTCATTATATTAAAGTTATTTATTATTTTTGTAACAATTGTAACTTAAAATACAATAAATATAAAGTTGATAGAGTTAAAATAAAAATCTTAGTCATTTGAGTAGATAATTTTAAAAACCCTCCGGTAATTCCGGCAAATCGATGCTCGGTTTGACTTCATCCGGAATTTCAAGACTCCACTGTAATTATTTTAACTTCAGTATATTTAAATATTTTTCAAAAATAAAATTCTGTAATTTTAAATAATTTATACAAAAGACACTTGTGATAATTTTACAAAATAAAAAAATAATAGTTTCTCTGCAAAAAAAAAAAAATGCATTTATCTTTTAAAATTTTATAGTTATTAAATATAGGTTAATATTATTAAAAAAACTATTATAATTAATCGTTAATAACTAATAAATTATTTTTAATTCGAAAATATTATAAACTAATAATCAAGTTAAATTATATAATCCATAGATAACATTTTATAATAAGCTCCGTATAATGTTAACCATCTCTTTTACTAAATAACTAAATATTATAATATATATACCCAATATTTTCTTGATAATTGATAAATTATTACAAGTATTAAAATAATAAACCCCGTATAATTTAATGATTATTATTATAATAATTACTTGTATAAATAAGTTGTAGATATCTATATCATATTTGATTAGAGCGAACATAGTGCAATTAAAAAGTAGATAAATCTGAAAAGTCTAATTATGCTTCTATGATAATTAAATATAAATAATGATTTACAATCACCTAATTATGTTTTTATAATCCGTTAGTTAGTAGTGGTTTTATCTATATGACATACATCTGTCCTCTGTCGAAGACACTAGAAATCGAAAATTTATATTAAGCAATGATAGTGTTTTATGTTAATCTACTAAAAAAATTCAAAATGGAGCTTTCATAAAACTATTACATATAAATATAAGTTCACTACTTACAAAAAAATTACAAAATACTTTTGTAATTTTTTGTGATATAAGCAAATAATATGAATTTAATCATTATATATATATATATATGAAAAAAAAATCACTCACATATTTTTAATATTTTTAAAATGCTATAAGCATTATTATAACTTATGAGATATCTTATATTAAAAGTTTTTTAAGCTTTTTTACAACCTAACAAACAAATTGTACCCTATCCATACATTGAAAATAAACTGAACAATCTCAAAACTTTAATATATTCATAAATTATGTAAAAAGAGTTATAATATTTTAATTATAAATATTTAATGAAAATATGAAGTTTTTACAGATATGAGTTTTTAAATTGCGACAAAAAAAAATAAAAATAATTTTATCAAAAATTGTGTAAAAGTTATTGTTTTGTTAAATTTTTCTCGATTATTTATAAATTAATGAGAACAGTTTATTCTCTCATCTCTACCAATGTGACAACTAGATCAAACTTTCAACTATCAATTATTACCCTCAAAGTTTAAAATTTAAGTATTTTATTACCCCTATAAAGAAATGTAAAACATATGACACATATTTGTAAATTAATACTTTCATCACTCAGTTTGTGATTTTAAACATATCAAATATTTTAAAAATATGATTTAATTAACTTTTTATAGAACATTAATTTAAATAACTTAAGTTACAAAGTAACTAAAAAACATATATAGTCACTATTAGTGACATAGAATTATAAAATTAAAATATCATGTATAGGTTTATTTATTACTTAAATTTAAACTAAAAGGAATATTAAGTATAGTATAACTATCAAGATATTATCCTTCAATAAAGAACCAATATCATTAAATAATAATATCACGAAATTATCTTATTCACTACTGAATTTTCGGTACGCGAGTTGTTTCTAAGATTGTAGATGTGCTATACCATTAATGGTGTTTTTACATTGTTGAAAAAAAAATGACATAGTCATGTTAGCCAGAGAAGATGGAGATAGCTTTAACAAAGGTTTTTATGTTTCCAAATACTTTCTTTCTCTTTGATGCAAAGTATCTTTTTCGACTACTCATCTTGACTGGTGGCATTGAAGAATGCCACATGCTGACTTCTTGACACGTGACAGTTTATAGTAGTATCGTCCCTTTTTGTCAATACTAAACACTTATTTTGGGTGATTGTCATCTGCCAGGTAGTAATCTCCACTTCTTTATTATATTTTAAGCTTATTAATAAATAATAAATAATACTATAATTCATTATCTAATGTACATTATTTCTTATAAATAAAAGATTTGTAGTTGTCAATTTTATTGGTCTACAGTAATAATTATGGGTTATGGTTACAGCGTTACATTAGCGTTATTATTATACATTGTACTCGAGTTTTAAACTGTTGTTTTAATTTTAAATATTCATACAGAGTTGCGATAACTTGTAAAATACAATTATGTTGTGTCTTAAATTTTATATTAGTACCAACTTACATCATAATATTATTGTATTATTTTGAACAAAATTATATGTAAATTTTAAATTTTGAGCAGAGTAATGAATGTATTTATTTTAAAATTATGTTTATTTGTATTTATTTTTTTTATAAAATGTTCTGTGGTTTATAAATAGGGGTGGGTAGTATTTTAATTAAACTTATTTAAAAATACCTTTTAAAAATATTTTGTACAGTGAGTATTTTCAAAATACAAAATAAAATTATCACTATTGAATTTTAGCCCAGTTGCGAGATAAAAACTTACTATAGCTTTGTTATACAATAAATAATAATAAATTTTAAGTATAAAATACAGTTTATATTATAGTCT